TGGGGAGAAGACTGAGGCCCTCCTAGGCTATGGGGTCTGTGTGGGATTCTGGTTTATCAGGTTCTTTCCCCATGACCCAATAGTGATTATAAAAGGCTGAGACATCAGCAGAGGATGAATGTTTATTTGCATTTCATAGATGGGAAAAAAGAGGCCAAGAGAGCAGTTTTCTGAGACCAGGGGAGCCTAAGAGCTAGATCTTTTGATCCTTACCATATTGATCCTTAGGACCTGGAGAGATTCTTTCTGCAAATATGTATTGAACACCAACATCCAGTGGGTGTTAGAGACCCACATGACTGTGTAGTTGAGCTCATGGCTCTAGTGTTAGATGGTCTGCGTTTGAATTTGGTTCCAGTATTTGGGGGAACTTGGGCAAATCACTTAAGCTCTCCTAATTTCCTTAACTTTGAAATGGGGACACTGCTTAAACTAACTTGGGGCCCAAGGAGAGATGAAGGGATGTCTTCAAACATTCAGAATAGTTCCTGACCCAAGGCAGGGACTCTGAAGCATTAGCTCTTATTGTTATTAGCAACAAAGGAGGTAAGACATGATCCAGGTCCTGCAGGAGCTTGGAGTCCATTAGACTTCCCACTTATTAACTCTGGGGCAAGTGTCATTTAGTCGCTGAATCTCAATGTCTTTATCTGTGTAATGGCTCTCATACGCCCTACCTCTCAGGAGAATTTTGTGAATTACTAGGTCCAGAGTAGATGCTCTAAGTGTTTGTCATTTCTTTGGTTGACCCGTATGAAGAGTGAAGGTCGTAGGCTGGGTGCCTGCTGGATGTGTGGGGATCAGGTAAAGAGTGCCAGGGCCAGGGGGGAGGCAAACAGGAGCACCTTGTAGCAGAGAGATGTGAGGTTGGCAGAGGTGGCTGGGCTGAGGTACGTGTGGATCTCAGGGGACCGGGTCTGGGGCCCTGGGAAGGGAGAATGGCCTTTGAGTCCTAGAGTTGGACAGGTGTGAGTGTGGGTGGGTGGGTAGGTAGGATGGGTGATGGGCTCACCCATGCTCCGAGCCCTTCCACATTCTTCTCCTCCCACAGATTCATCTATGAACTGGAGCACTTCAATGGTGTGGCTGAGCTGCTAGAGATCTTAGGAAGGTGATTGTCCTGGGACCTCAGCTAGAGCTCAGGGTTCTGGGAGGAGGGACTGGGGACCTGGTCACTTGAACCCTGCTCCTCTTTTCCGGCCCCTCCTTAGCATCATCAATGGCTTTGCGCTGCCCCTGAAGACTGAGCACAAGCAGTTCCTTGTTCGCGTCCTGATCCCCCTGCACTCCGTCAAGTCACTGTCTGTCTTTCACGCCCAGGTGAGGCCCAGGCTTGGCCCTGCCTCAACAGAACTTCTGACAGAGTCAGGGCTGCCCACAGGACCAGGAAGTGGCCTGGCACCGGTGGGATCCTATCTCACCTTGGTTGTCTTCACTAATTCTTTCCACTTCAGGGAGTTGCCACTGGCCCTTTAAGGCCGACCTCAGACATCCGCTCTGAAGCCCCCCCCAGGCCTTCCCTCTACCTGCTCTAAGCTCAGCGAAACTCTCCTCCCTCCATAAGCCCAAAGATTGCGATGCACAGCTCTATTATGGAATCTTTTGCAAAATTTATAAGGGTTGGTTTGCCGAGCGTTTCCCCTGTGAGGTCATCGTGCATTCCCAGCTCCCTGGCGGGTACCGCCCGGGCAGGCTGGCAGTGCTGGGCCAGCAGAGTGAGAGGCAGTGGGTGGGTGAGTATCTGATGGGCGCCCGGTGGTGGTACCTGGCCCCAGACGACCTCTGGCTTCCTCCCTCTCCCCCCACGCCCGGCAGCTGGCATACTGTGTGGTGCAGTTCCTGGAGAAGGACGCCACCTTGACAGAGCATGTGAGTTCCTCTGGGGGAAGGTGGGCCCCTCACTCTGCAGGTCTGACTTTCTTCTGCCTCAACCCCTACAGGTGATCCGGGGGCTGCTCAAATACTGGCCCAAAACCTGCACCCAGAAGGAGGTATGAAGAGGGCTTTGATGCCCACCAAAGGGAGGTTGGGGGCCATCTCGCAGAGGCAGGTAGGTGTGTGCGTGTCTGGGGAGATGTGAGCTATTGCCACTCTGTCCCCTCAGGTGATGTTTCTGGGGGAGATGGAAGAGATTCTTGATGTCATCGAGCCCTCCCAGTTCGTGAAGATCCAGGAGCCCCTCTTCAAGCAGGTGGCTCGCTGTGTATCCAGCCCCCATTTCCAGGTATGGGGCAGGGACAGGTGGGGTGGAGGCAGTGCTGTAGTCTGGGAAGGTTGGGCCATTTACCTGACATAGTTCCCTCTCCCCTCAGTTTCTCCTCCAGTCTTGGGTCTGATAATAGGGAGATGCTGGGTTTAGGGTCAGAAGATGTAGGGTCAAACCTCAGATCTCCTTCTCCTGGCTGCAGAGCCTTGGGCATATCACCTCCCACTGTGAATATGATTTAGGTTTCCTCATCTGTGAAATGGGCCAACAACAGTTTCTTCACTGGGAAGCAATGAGGATCAGAGAGATCATGACTGTAACATGATAAACTGAGCCAGAACAGGATGGAGTATTATCACTTATCTTAGTGGCCTTAGTATTTTTGTTGGTTGTGTTTGTTTCTGATTCGAGATTGAAACCAAGAGTACTGTATCACTGAGCTACATCCTCCTCCTTTTTGAATTTTTGTTTTGAGACAGGATCTTACTAAGTTGCTAAGGCTAGTCTTGAACTTGCAGTCCTCCTATATCAGCCTCCCAAGTCACTGGGATTACAGGCTTCATCCCCTTATATTTCATTAGTCCCACTTAAGAACCCAGCCAGGTTTCCCTCATTATCCCAGCTATTGTAACTCTTGCTCTTCTGCATGTATATAGAATCTCTTCCAGTCTTTTTAATTTTTCCCCATGGTGCTAGGATGAAACCCAGGGCCTAGCACAAGCTAGGCAGGTGCTCTGGCCACTGACTTACGTCTCCAGTCTTCTCTCATTTTTATGAACCCTAACCCTATGGACGTCACTTCTTCCTACAGTGACTCCAGTAGCTTACCTTCATTAAACAGTCTGGTATTTCATTTCGTTCTTACAATAGTCCAGTGGAGGTAGGTATCATGAGCTCCATTTTATAGATCAGACAACCGAGGTGGAGACTGGATTCCTCCCAGGGTCCTGTGGGTGGCCTGGAGTCTGTCAGTGAGGATTTGCCTGGGTGTTGATCCCAAACGTGGTGCTGTGTGTTTTTCTCTCTTCACCACATTGTTTCCCCCAGTGGATCAAATGAGCCCTTGGGGTTGGGGATTGTGGAGGTCAAGGGGCCTGGGCTTTAGGGAGGGATGGATGCCCGTCCTTGCCATGCAGAAGCCACTACCAGGCATTCTCTGTACCACTTTGCCTGCGTCAGGTTGCAGAGCGGGCTCTGTATTTCTGGAACAATGAGTATATCCTGAGCCTCATTGAGGACAACTGCCACACTGTGCTGCCTGCTGTGTTTGGGACCCTCTACCAAGTCTCCAAGGAGCACTGGAATCAGTGAGTGCCCAGGCTTTGACTTCACCCTTAAACACTGGGAACACAGCCAACCCGGCCTCTGGGGCTGCTCCTAGCTGGAGAAGATCAGAGACAGTGGCGGAGGATGGCCGAGGGTGGGGGGGTGCATGGGCAGAGAAGCAGGGTGCTGGGTGGGGAACAGGATAGGCAGAACGCCAGGCAGGGAAGTGGGTCAAATTGGTGTTGTAATCATCTCAACCCCCGTCCTTGACCACACCAAGAACCATCGTGTCTCTGATCTACAATGTGCTCAAGACCTTCATGGAGATGAACGGGAAGCTATTTGATGAGCTCACGGCCTCCTACAAGCTGGAGAAGCAGCAGTGAGTGCTGGGCGCTGGGCATGGGGGAGGGGGAGAAAAGCAGGAAGGAATCTGACCCTCGGGTTGGACCCTGAGGTTGGCAGAAGACCCCCAACCCAGTGTGGTCAGAAGTTCCAAGTCCCTCCCTCGTGTCCCTGCACCGCTGCCCACTGCGCCGTCCACTGTTCTTCCTGCTCTGACGCCCTGCAGCTCCTAGACCACAGGCTGGGCGTGTTCTCTCCTCAGCTCTTTCCTAAGCAGAGGGTTTCTCTAGAGTTAAAGGACAGAATATGATTCTGTGCCCCCCCACCCCGTTTTGCAGGGCAGGGTGGAGGATGGAGTGTGGGGGCCTTAGTAGGGGGAGCTGCCTTATCCTCTCTCCCCAGGGAGCAGCAGAAGGCCCGGGAGCGGCAGGAGCTATGGCAAGGCTTGGAGGAGCTGCGGCTACGCCGGCTACAGGGGGCCAGGGAGGCCCCTCTCCAACGGCTTACACCCCAGGTGGCTGCCAGTGGGGGTCAGAGCTAGAGAGCCCCCAGAAGGGGAGAAGCTAAACCCAGACCAGAGCTGTCAGTCCCTCCATCCCTTTTCCTGCCCAGGGGCCCAGAGAGGCACACACCTACCCCTGGCCTTGCCAGAGTGGGCTCTGAGGACTCCCTGCCCAGCCCTGTGTGGGCAGCTTTCACTGGGGGACAAGAGGACAAGATGGTGGTCTTGGCAGCAGAACTCTCAGGCCCTCTTGGCAAGACTTGACCAGGGCAAGCTTGGCTAGGAAGCTGCCATCAGGGACATTCCCCTGCTCAGCAATGCAGGGCTTCAGGCTGCAGGGGATACAGCTCTGCCCCCAGCCTAGGACAAGGGCACTGGGCGCCTCGCCTGCCCTTGCCCTGGGCCGGCATGAGGTCCTTCCTCGTCTCCACTATGGGGTCCATGATCTATTTATTCTGCTCTGCGCACCCTCAACACAGGCACTGTCCTGGCCCTGGGGCATCCTCCTTCCCTCCTGTCCTTTGCCCTGTACTTCCTTGTCCCCTTTTTATTTATTGGGCAGGGGGAGGGGCGAGGGCACAGGCAAAAAGAGATTCACAGTGTCCTGGGGTAAGGGGGTCACAGTAACCATGGTCTATCCTCCTTCCCCTGGCTGGGGGTAGACGTAATAAAGAGAGAAACTGAACAACTGCTTGCTTTATTTAGGGGTGGGGCATGACGAGGACTGGTTAAGGGGGACAGGCAGGGACGAGGCAGAGGCAAAAACACCCCTCTTCTCGGGAGGTGACATCACAAACTCAGGAGAGTCAGAGCTGGAGCAGCTCCTCATTTTAAAAAATTCGATAGCAAGTCACTAGCAGGATGGGAACTCCTTCCAATGACTAGAAGCGAGAGAGGCGACACATGTCACACTGGCAGGCCCTGGCCGTGAAGATCTCGAGCTCCCGCCTCCGGTCCCCCACACACTGCAGCTGTACCTTTACCTGTGGTGGAGGGGAGCCAGCCACGTTCTGGACCCTCCAGGCCACCTTCAACCCCACCTCCTCTGTCTCCACCTCCCCAGCACCCCTCACCTTCTTCAGGCTGCTGATGGTGCAGCACTGGGAGACGGAGGTGATGTTGTGTCGATAGCCACTGGCTGCCAGCACAGAGTACCGGGAAGGGAAGGCACTGGATTCACAGTGGCCCACACAGGCCTGTGCCACATGGGAGCCCTGGCAGGTGCCTTGGCGGTCACTGCGCACTGTCACGTTGAAGGCTGAGAGGAAACGGAGCAGTGGACTGTGCCTCTGGGAAGGCGAGCCCCAGCACTCTATCTATGCCTCCCCGGGCGTCCCTCTATAGGGTGCTGCCTGCCCACGTCCAGTCTGTCAGCTCTGCTCCCACCCAGAACTTCCACTCCTAGCTCTCTGGTCCCAGAGTTACTCACGGTGCAAGTGGCAACCTGGGATGGCTGCCTCCTGATCCCAGCCTTCAGTGACTGCCAGGACCAGCAGGCAGATGAGCAGGGCTTGGGGGGACGCCATGGGCACCTGAAGCACAGTGGGTGGAAGTCTCTAAGGGGGTGTGCAGGTGGGAGAGAGAGTTCTTTAAATAGCTTCTGCCTGCAGGTAAGTGAGCTGGCTGGTCTTTCTGACAGGTGAGACATGCCTGAGGGGGCTGTCTTTTCTCTCTGCCTCCCTGCGTGGGTCACTCTGGATGGGACTTGTGTGTCCATCCTCCAGCCTTCTGCAGTGATTCTGCGCTGGAATCATCCTCACCATCTGGACTGCAAACATCTTCCTCCCTCCACCTGCCCCATCTTGGCCTGCAGGGCCCTTGCCTGCATCTCCCGCCTTCTGGAGCTCCTCCTGCCTCGGCAAGCTCACCAGTGCAGGGCAGGAACTGCTGCTTGTAGGCTCTGGGCGCCTCCTGCTGCTCTAGAGTCTGGTGCCAATTCTCTAGGCTTTTATTTGCCTGTTTCAGAGCCACGCCCTCTTGGAGATCAGCTTTCAGGCGCCTCCTGGGCTGAGCCCTTGGAGCAGTCCACCTGGGAGATCCTTGCTCTGAGGTCCAGGACTGGGGGAAGTAAGGTGTGGAGAAGAGCCCAGGAGCTGGGGGAGGGTGCAGCATGTGCACCTGGGGAGAGGGCTCAAGACTCAGTTGAGCTGTGGTCACTTGTGTCCTCTCTGCTGTGTGAACTTGGTCAGGACACTACCCCAGCCTAAAAAACTCCTAAAACAAGCCTTGCCCATTTCTTTTATGACTACAAAGGAAAGAGATTGCAGGAGATTCTTATGGACAAGTGAAACGCCAGTGGGGGGCTCTGGAGCTGGGCTTGGTGGCAGGCAGAGCCATGGGGGCTGGGTCTACTGAGTCCCCTTCAAAGCCTCCCTTCCAGTGTCAGTGATGTCTTCCACCCTGTGGCCAGCTACAGAGCAGAGCTTGGGGTAGAGGGCTCTCTAGACCCTAGAATAACAGCAATGGGACTCCCCAAAGAGCCTAAGGCAGTTAATCCCAGGAAATCTGATTATTTGAGTCCAGCTCTGGTTTTACAGACAAGGTTTCTAAGGCTCAGAAAAGGGAAGTTACTTACTAAAAGTCACACAGCTAATGTTACTGTCCAGGCTGATTTAGAACCCAAGTTTTCTGCTGTACTATCCAATAGTGCTAAAATAAACTTAGGGCAAGAATGTGGCAAGTTGGGGGGAAAATACCCTAGTTAGCAGGAGCCAGAGATTGGGGCAGGAAAGAGACCAAAAGGAAGGCTGTGGTGGTTCTGGGAAGCCCCAGTCAGGGCCATTGCCTCAGTGACCTACTCAGAAAGAGCAGGCAAGTCACACAGACTGCCAAAGCTAGATGGCCCCTAAGAACTCATCAAATCTCCCCCTCTCATTTTCCAAGTGAGAATGTCCCCAAGGCCACACTGTCTGCTAGTCCAGGTCATGATGGGCATTCAGATCTCCAGATTTTGGAGCTGTACCCTTTGTAGCTCTGTCAAGGAGGCCATGTTTGGGACAGTAAGGCAAGGGCTGCAAATACAATCTGAAAGGAGCTGGTGTTATCAGTGTTGCTGACCCTCAAGTCCCCACTCTATCCAGTGCCACCTCTGCTCGAGTTCTGGGCCCTCCCTCCCACAGCAACCTACCTCTTCTTTTCTCCCCACCAATGTTAGGGGTAGCCAAGCAAGGGGACATGGAGGGACCTCAACAGTCCTGCTCCTATGCTCCTACTCTCCCACACAGTGTAGCAACCCTCAGGCATGTGACAGATAATTAGCTGTTTAATGACTCCAGGTGAAAGGGCTCATTACCTCACAAGGTAGCCCATTCTCACACTGGACCCCTGCCCCGCCCCGCCTTTTCTTTCTTTTTTTTGTGGTACTGGGGATTGAACTCAGGGGCACTCAACCATTGAGCCACATCCCCAGCCCTGTCATACTGGACATCTCTAAGAGTTAAAAAGTGACTCTTTTGTTCTGAGCTAAAATGAGTTTCCTTAGATTTCCATCAGTTGTTTTGGTTCTCTGAGGTCACCCAAGTCTAAACTGTCCCAGACTGGCCGGTTGGTTGGAGACAGTATATGTGTAGCCTTGCCTTTACCAGGGGCCCTACCTGGACTGGCTTCCAATTAATCTGATAAACTAATTTGTGCTAACAACAAGGCACCACAGGGATAGACAGGTGGGAAGCATTTTATCTGTGGAGAGGCTATTCCTTGGGGCCCAACTTAGTTGGGAAAGAGATCCTTTCTTTTGGGGCAGCAGGGTTCCAGACAGTGAGTTTTGCACAACCTCATTCCCTAACCCCTGGCAGTGGAGCTTAAGGTTTGGAATCAGGTAAGACTCCTCCATCCAACGTCATCCTGTAGCCAGCAGCAGGGGTCCAGGGCAAGTTTCATGCATTGCTTCTCTGCATCTTGAGAGAAGTTTGTTCTCTTAAACTGCTTCACCAAATGCAATCAATAGCTCTTCATGAATAATTTATTGGCATTAGGATCTTAAGTGCTGGAGGCAAAGGACCTACACTGGAACCTCAGGGCACTGAACTTCTTATATCATAGTATTTTAGAAAGCCCCATTTTTTTCCTTGATGTCTTAACTAAAGAAAAAAAAATTATAAGGGATGAAGGACAAGAAAAACCCACAAGAGGGCTCAGATAGGGGCCATCATCCCCTCAACTGAGGTGTTGCTAAGATGCAGTCGGAGGAGGAACAGCTCTGGAGGGGTTGCTGTTAGAGAGGAGCTTCTCCCTGCTGCTGAGTCTGGAAGGCTCACTGGCTGTTCTTTCTGAAGAAATATCGAAATGGGAAGACAGTGCTGCAGGAACAAGAGCAGAGTAGGCTGAGACTAGAGATCTCCTTCCCTTCTCCCCAGTTCCCATTAATGACTCATTAGCCAGGGCATTTTGCTCTGGGGAATCACTGAATGGAAATTCAGGTCCAGAACAGCATTTGAGAAGGTAGCTAAATTAATTACACGAAGAAGGGAGAAATAAAGGAAAAAGAATTGCAAAGGGATGGCTGAACCCTAGACAGGGAGGGATTTGCTAACTGTTCTCCACAAAAAAAGACTCTGAAGACAACCTAGGTTCAGAGGGAAGGATAGAAATGTTTTGGAAACTGTATTATCTGAATGGCCCCATAAAACATGAATAGTCTCTATTCAAGCAAGGTCTGTGAAGCCAGGCCTTATTCTTAGTACATTAGAATGGGGGTGAGGTGCACAAAAATGAATGAGATGGTATTAAATTCCCAGTTAGGGCCCACGTCCTCAATCTCATTTCCACAATCTATCCTGGAGATCACTGAGACACTTCTGCAAGTCATCTGTTTTTACTCTCATTTCCCCGGAAAGACTCAATGAGGCAGCTCTGGAGCTAGACCACTGCTTGGATGCTGGATCTCAGTCTGATGGCAGGAAAGAAGTCCTCCTTACCTTAGAAACCCAAAGAAGCCACTGTTTCCTAGCTCTTTAGGTGGAGGTGGGTTGTTTTGCTGTAATGGTGGGACAACTGGCCCTGGCAGACCCTGTTCCTTTTTAGAACCTGTAAAGAAAACACTCAGGCAGGAAAAACATATTGGTCCATGGGCTACTTTCACGCGATTAGGAAACAGAACAGCCTCGTGCCAGGATTTCTTTAAAACCAGGTGAATTATTTGCTCTGACCTTTCCAATTTCATCTCAGCTCAATAAGATGCTAGTCTGACCTTGAAGTATTTTCAAAGCCAGGCTCCACAGATATTTACCCAGCTCAACTCCCCAGCTATCCACCACGGCTGGTATGTTTTCACAGAGAATGACAACTTGCCAAGTAACTCACTCGCATTATATCCTGCTTCTAGGATAACTACAGTCCACACTGAATCATCATGCTGGGTGAAGGATCAGCAAGTCGGAAGGGCAATACCTCCATATGCATTCCCAGGTCTTGCAGAGCCCCTGTCTGTGCCCTCAGTGTTAATACTAATACCTGAGGGGGAAGGGAGAGAGAGCTCCCCAAGATGGTTCTCCAGTTGCACAGAAAAAGGAGATAAATCTCTTCCAACTTTTCCATAACACTTCCCACCTTATTCTGAAACATTTGGAGGGGCTGGGGTTGTGGCTCAGTGGCAGAGCATTTGCCTAGCATGTGAGAGGCCCTGGGTTCGATCCTTAGCACCACAATAAACAAATATAATAAAGGCATGTTGTCCATCTACAACTACAAAAAAAAATTTTAAAAAGAAACACTTTGGAACTGCAACTTCACTATCAGAAGCAGAAGAAGGGGGCTGGGGATGGGGCTCAGTGGTAAATCACTTGCCTGGCATGTGTGAGGCACTGGGTTCAATCCTCAGCACCACATAAAACAAACAAACAAACAAATAAAATTAAGGTATTGTGTCCATCCATAACTTAAAAAAAAAAGAAAGAGGGAAAGAAAGAGGCAGAGGAAGAGCACGCATTATTGCCTCCCTCACACCTTTGGGAGCTGGGAGGAGGATCCTGTTACTCCAAGTCAGTCCCACTGGAGGACAATCACTGGTGCCTCTAAGGGTGAGAGGAACACCACACGGAATGTGCACAAACTCAGAGCACTAGAAGGGGTAGGACATTATTAAAGGAAGGTAAGTATGAACTTCCCAGAACCTACCCTGTTCCTGGGCATCAGCGGTATCAGAATCTAGGTTCGCCTGCCATTCCTGCTGGGGTTTTCTTTCCTTGTTCTGGTAAAAAGAAGACCAAGAAAAGTCCTAAGTTTTACTCCTATATGGCTGGTGATCTGACTTGCTATTTTCTGATGAACTGATTTCACATCAGCACCGGGGCCTGGCTTCTGGCTGCCCAGGCAGGTCTGGGATTCCCTGCTATAGGACTGTCCTTTTTCATTTCAGCTCCCTAACCATTGTCTGTCTAAAACCACAAAATTTAAGAGCTGATAACAAGCCAAGCTGGGCTTACCTTACTGTTCCCTACTGTGGAGAGTTCCCACTATTACTGACACAATATCGAGGCTTCAGAAACCAGGACAACCTTACCATTACCTTGGAGAACTGTATAACTGTCAGATAAAACTGACCCATAAACCATTTGCCACAAGACAGTATGCTGAAGCTACCCCATGAGTCTCTAGACTGGCCTGGTTGCTGGGGAGGACATGAGCAGAGTGGGTGGCGGTTATCAAGGCTTCATAGGGAGAGTGACGTCTGGATGGGGCCTGCATGGATGAGCGGGATTCTCATCTTGGGGGCGAGGATCTGGACAGTGAGAGCACAGAACTCTGGACAGGGACATGATGTAAAGGGCACAGTACCAATAAAGAGTAAACGCAATCAGCATGACTAGTGCCAGGCCCGGCAGAAACAGGTGATGGCCTTAGCAGCCAGCACAATACAGTGCAATCTTTCTCCATGTGCCACAGCCTGATAGGAATTCCTCTGCACTCTGAAGAAGACATTCTACAACCGGTTTCCAGGACCACAGCATTTCTAAGTAAACACCCTGAGAGTCAGAAACATGGTGCATATATTTTCTTTGGGAATGTGCCTGAGAGAGTCCAGCAGAGCCCATGTTCTTGAGCTGTGACACTGTGAATTCTAGAGCAGAATGGGCTCAGGGAGGCAGGCTCAGGGAAGACCTCAGGACATGCAGGACTGGCCCCCCACCCCAACCATAAACTTCAGGTTAGAACAATAGATCTTTATGAGGTGAGATTCTTAACAAACCCCTCAAATATAGTCCATAGTGGCAGCCCCCTAAGTCATATTCCCCAAAAAGTGACAGGGAACTCTAGAAAGAAAGGACATAGACCATTCTTACTTTTTCTAGACATAGTGGTGACAGGATTTAGAGGGCCTGGCTCTGGTTTCTGGCTTGAGGAAATAATTCTTACAAATTTGATGAAACGATGCTCTGGAGCTTAAATTTTGCTATATGGAGTAGCCCCAGTAGAGTGGCATCTATTAGGGCTGATACAGGGTCCAGAGGGCAAAGGCCTGGGGACAGAGGTAGAGTCTGCTCCAAGCCAGGGAGACAAGACTTGTGAGGACAAGACAGAGGCCTTTGTGCGTTCCTTTGTGATCTTGAGGGAGGTTTTCCCAGGCAAAGTTGTAAGAGAGAAAAAACAGCCTGAAGGAGACTGAGGGTTTCATCAGGGACCTCCAGCAGAACAGCATGCTGAACCTCTATATGTCCAGGGTTGGATCTGTTGAGAAGTGGCTTCAGTGGAGGGGGAAACAAGCTATGAGCACCAGAACGTTTCACTTCTAGGCCATTTCTATGTTTATCCACACCCCCACTTCCACCTTTTTTTTGTCCTTCCAACGTCTGGGTCTCTAGGTGTAGGGTCTGAAGGAGCAAAGGGAAGGGATCTACCTTTCCTGCTTATTCTTCCCAAAATCCAAAGCACCGTTCATGAGATAATTGTTGTATTCAGCTAAGCTCTCCCTGTGCAGGTTCCCAATGTGTTTAGGCATGCACAGGCTGCACTGGCTGAGATCCTGTACCCTAACTTCCCCCAGAAGCGAGAGAAAATATCAAGCATTGGACATAGGCACAAATTCAATTTTTCCAGCTCAACTGCCTTACACTGAGAGTCACTGTGATCATTTTAATTTAGGAGAAATCCTCTCCCTGGGAACAGGGTCTGTGATGGAGGCTGTCTTTGGGCTTTGAGTCAAAATCAATAAACATGCTTCTTTTACTCAGTTTTTTTCTAAACCCAGAATCAGGTTGAAAAGGTAATTATGTTGAGTAAGAAGCTGTGGGTACAGTTCTTGAGGGAGATGATGTGTCAAACTAAGAATAGGAAGGTACGAAGGGTAGGGAGTGAGGGAAACGTTCCTTTAATAATAATTATCTTGGTTGTATAAAGTGTCTTTGTTCCCCAGAGCTTCATGTACTCTTCTTGTACTTTCTCATTTCTTTCTTTTCTTTTTTTCTTTCCTTTTTCCTTTTACCTCTAGAAAGGATGGGAAGTAAAGAAGGGGGCGACTTTCTTCCCAAAGTCACTCAGTGGGCCACTTGGCTATGGCACAACTGGGGCTTGTCCTGGACCCCCAGAGGCAGAGGGCTAGAACCCTCCCCGATACACATTATAAACTCCTGGAGAGAAGAAGCCAGGTTTTACATGTGTTTGTATGTGCTCTAGCACATAACATAATATAATACCTTGCAAACAGGAGACAGAATAATGGTTTAGAAATGTAAATTGCAGGATGAGGGTTTATATCTCAGTGTGAGACCCAGGTTCAATTCCCAGTACTGCAGAAAGGAAGAAAATTTCTTTTAAAAATGTTTTAGGGAGGGCTGGGGCTGTAGCTCAGTGGTTGAGTACTTGCCTTGCATGTGTGAGCCACTGTATTTGATCCTCAGCACCACATAAAAATAAATAAACAAAATAAAGATATTGTGTCCATCTACAACTAAAATATTAAAAAAATTTTTTAGGGAGTTGCACATCTATAATCCCAGCTACTCAAGAGGCTGAGGCAGGAGAATCACAAGTTTCAGGCCAGCCTGGGTAATGTAGCAAGAAACAGTCTCATAATAAAAAGTAAAAAGGACTGGGGCTGTAGCTTAGTGATAGAGCACCCCTGGGCGCAATCTCCAGTACTTAAAAAAAAAGAAAAAGGTTTTAAGAAATTCTTGTGATCTTGAAGGTGACCTCAAAGCCTTCCATGATCCTGCTAGCCTGTCCAGTAACATTTCTGGTCCTGTGTTCTAAGCTCGAGGTGGGCTGGCTGCAGTCACCAAACACCTGCACTCTTCTCTCTCAGCCAGAGCTCTTTCAGTTCCTCTGAGCTCCTCTGGAAACCCTTCCTTCATGGTAACTTTGTGTTCTCTTTGTACCCTGTGCTTCCTTTTCCCCTGCACATGGCCTATCTATAAGTAACTATCCGCCTGGCCTGACACTGCTGGTGTTTTTAGGGGAGCACACGATATTCCTGGCACTTGGCACACAGCAGACACAATGAAAATTCGTTGAATTCATGCACATGTGCTCAATAGCTGATCATGTTATAGGTCCTGGGAAGGTGAAGGAAATGAGTTGGTAGTGTTTGAAAACTTAGGGTCAGAGCTACTTTGGACACATGAAGTGAAAACAAAAGAGGAAAGATCTATAAGGCAGGTATAACAGCTAATAGCTATTTAAAGAGGGAAAGAAATGTAAAAAGGCACTGCTTTAGGGCTGGGGTTGTGGCTCAGTGGTAAAGTACTTGCCTCACATGTGTGAGGCACTGGGTTTGATTCTCAGCACTGCATATAAAAAATGAATAAAATAAAGTCCATCAACAACTAAAAATAATATTTTAAAAAATGGGCACTACTTTAGAGACTATTATGAGAAAAAAGCCTTGAAATGGAGGAGAAGCAGATATATGAATATTCAAATGGGGAACAGACTCCATAAGTAGAATCAAACCAAATGGTCAGGGGCCAGCACATCACTGCTTCAGAGATTTTCTCTTACCAATTTCCAATGCTGATAAATGTCTAGCTCATCTGTTAAAATTAGACATGCCCAGACTCAGACTCCAGTGTAGATGAAAGCAAAAAGTTTTCTAAAGAGAAAGTTCTACCCTGGATTCCACCTCTATTTAATACAGACCTATTTTCTTACTTCAACAGGAAAGTACAAGCAGCTGCTTTCTAAGCTGAGAAGAGAGATGTTTTAACAAAAGGATTCATCCACATGTATATTATGCAGCCACTTTGGGGATGGGTTGTGGCAAGGGGGAAATCGCTGAAAGTTGTTCTGCAGACAGTGAAACCTGAGAATGCGCTCAGTCAGTTCCATCTGCAGTAACAGGAACCTTGCCCTGCAGAAGAGCGGGAGCAGCCAGGAACCTCAAAGCCTCCATTTTGGTGCTCACCTTCCTGGTTTCCATATGGGGCTTCTTTTTGCTGCTTTCTTGACTAGAAGTCCCTATCTTGGCCCTGAGTGGGGGAAAAAGCCCAGAAAATGTTACTGGCAGTGACAACATTACCACATTCTAGCAAATGTGGCCCAAATGAATATTTCAGCAGGTTGGCTATTTTTATACCACTCCTGGCTGGCAGGAAAAATTGTGTGGCCAAATTTTCTTTGGGTGCTGTTTTAATTCACAGTAGAATCCCATTTGAGACACTTAAGGATATGAGGTTTGAAAAAGGGAAAATGTGACTGACAGTAGGTTTTTAGATTCTGAGATACTTGATTGAGCATCAAAACCCAGAGAAAGGGAAAATCTGAGGCCTCATCTCTGTGGAAAATTCATTCAAATGGAACACAGCAAAGCTTCATTCCCTCGAGTACCCTCACATCGCCCTAGGTTGGAAAGGAACTCTTAGCTCTGCTCTTCCAACGTGTACACCTGGAAGGCACAGGGCAGCTCCTTTGTGGTCTATTCTAGGAACCCACATGGTCCCAGGAAAAGAGCAACTGCTTTCTTTGAACCCGGGTGAAAGCACTGTGGGCTGGGCAGCAAACCACACCTTGGACTATTCCAGCAGGCCTCTCTGGGATGCTAATAAGGAAGACCAAACTATCTTACAGACTCCTTTTATCCCTGAGAATTAAATGATCATAAGTAGCCTTCACAATAGCAACTTCAACATTCCACCTCATAACTGATGTACTCAACATTCCACCAACAAGTGATATGTAATAATTGATACTTCACCTAATAATTGATACTCACCCTAATAATTGATATAAACCCTTTTGCAAGCATTTATATTTCTCTCTGGACTACCTTTAAGGTTCTAAGAGCTTGCTGCTCACTAAGTAAAACAGAATAACTATATTTTATTTTATTCTCTCTTTTTGTTTTTGGATAATGTTCTGACTTCATAATTTCATGCCCTTCGACTGGGCCTTCTATAATGCTGCCATAGTAAGCATTCACTTGTAACAGGGGTTTGCTTGAAACTTACATGTTTTTTTTTTCTTTTTCCCCAATTTTCTTCTCCCTGATCTTCTCCTTCCTGATCTCTCCTCCCTAATCTCATTTTTTCTGAGTCACCTCTTTAAAAGTCCCCTGTTCCTGAGGATGGGCAGAATCACAGCCTTTGAAAGAGGAAATCCCCTGTGTTTCTCTTTTGTTAACAAAGCAATAAACCTTCTTTTTCCTTTTTCTCAAGACCTTGTTTTCATTATTGGATTGGTGTCAAGGACGAGGACCAAGCTTTTGGTTATATACTGACTGCACTGAAGTCAGTTCTACAGATCCAATTGTATTTCCTCTCAGCCTTCATCTTGGACAGAACAATCCTACTTTACTGAGAAAGGGAATGCGTTCAAATTACATCATAAATATCAACTCGCTTCCTTTCCTTAGCCCACTCACTGGAATAGGCAGGTACTATTGAAACCTCCCAAAAGAAAGTGATTTGCCCAAGAACAGAACCCACTACAGCCCAGGTGGCAAAGCCTGCCTAGGAGGAGTCAGCCTCCCAGACCCTGCCACTGACCTGTGCAGCCCTGTCCTGCTGGGGGAGCTTGGCTCTTCCACAAGTCCTCGTTTCCTCATGGAGGCTCCTGCTGCTCTCTTCTCAGTTAGAAGCTTCAGGGAAGAACCAGATTTCTGTGAGCCTCCTTTTCCAGAGTGTCTCACATTCAAGAGGGTATCATGGAAGGGCGCTCCCCATCTTTTTTTTTTTTAATATTTTTTATTTGGACACAATGCACCTTTATTTTATTTATTTTTATGTGGGTGCTGAGGATCAAACCCAGCACCCTGCATGTGCTAGACAAACACTCTACTGCTGAGCCACAACTCCAGGCCCAGGAGGTCCCCATCTTTAACCTGCCAAAGGCAACTTTATTTTTTTGACAATGCTGGGGATGGAACCCAGGGCTGCATGTTAGGCAAGTGCTCTACCACTGAGCTATAGTTTCAGCCTTCAAAGGCAACTTTTATCAACAGCTTTGTAGCAAAGATAGATAGATGTTCTGTTAGAGACATGGTCTCTGAAATCTAGCCAAGGGGACATATAGGGTCTCCTGCCTACAATTCTGATGGGACCCAGGCAGTGACCAATCAGCAAAGTCTGAGGAAGTCAAAAGCAGCACTTTGGGGAAAATGGGAGGTGATTACAGTGATTTTAATTTTGTACAAAAAGGGCAAACTTACCAATCCAAGAGGAGTGTCATTTATTGGTTTCCCTACAATAGGAAATTTAAATGTCATAATGGATCAAAACTTGTTTTGCCTAAATTTCTGGCTACTATTTATTTCTCAGAATTGGCCCCAGACAAAACCTCCCCATGTACCCTTCTCCCTTCCACCTGGTACCACTTTCCCTAGAAACAGTATCTTCAAATTCTCATCCTCCACTACTCCAGAAGGATTGTCATCTACAAGTTGAAATGGGTTTGATTCACATTATATTTTAAAGATATATCACTTAAAAGGGGATAATCCTCATTATAAAAGAAAAACTGTGACTTTAGGCATCAATGACAAATGAATTAGAGAGATACTTGAAGCAAGGCCTTTGCACCCTTTTTAAAACACACTAGCACGTGTTTTCTTGTCCCTCAATAAATAAAATTAGCCATGGCCCTCAGAGATTAAAAACTGGGAGATACCTTTAAGACATCACTAAGGTGAGTCACTGGATACTCAAAAGTTAAGAAAGTGTTTATAGAAGACTTACCTTCTATTGAGTCTGACTTTGTATATTCCACCTATCAGTATTTATATCCTCAATCTTTTTAACAACTCGTGAAGTGGTACTAGTATTTTTCTTCACCATTTCACAAAGGAGGCACAGAAAGACTAATTGATCAAAGGTCATACAGCTATTAAGTATCAAAAGCCATGGATCTGAACCAGGCTTTGGAGAACGTGATCCTGGCTTCTTCAAGGCAGTTGGGGCCCAGTCTGGCAGACCCTTTCACCATATTCAGCTTGTACTGCTAATGGCTTTCTTCTCTGCCACCCTCAGTCCTCTCATGCTACTTACCAGGTGACAGGTTTTCTTGAAACCATTTCATCTCCACATATAGAGTGAAAACAAAAGGGTAGGGGATCAAGATGATTTCTCCATGTTTGAATTTCAGGTGGGAAACTCTCTCCCACTTGCTTTTATCTGGGAAATGGTGCTGAGGAGTGAGGACAGATGACAGCTGCATTCCCTGAGGACTACTTTAGGGACTAGATTCCCCACCCCTTTCCATGACCCACCCTCCAAACTGCATATGATTCTATTGTTTCCACTGGAATCTACAATGGGAGCTATAGCTCATGATAGCCAGAAAAGAAAGGATACAGGGAAACACAATGAAGTGTTCTGTAACAAAGGGCTGCAGATTGTCCAAGTTTCCCAAGACTGCACGGATGGAATCCTGAAAAAGATATGTGAAATGACTTCAATACTGTCAAATCTCATCCAATCTTTCCATTTATATTTTTCACTGCTTCTCACATACCCTGTCTTCTAACAAAACTGAACTATTTTCTATTCCCTAAATGTGCCTTCTGTCTCTCCACTTCTGTCCTTTTCCTGTTCCCTCTGCCTGAAATGGGCTCTCTACCCATCAGTACACCTGTCCATATCCTACCTTTCTTGTAAGGTACAGTTCAAAAGTTATCTCCTCCAGAAAGCTTTCTCAAGTTGTAATTAACTGTTGTCCCAAACTTCACAGTAATTAGCCTGGGGCCTCTATTACATTTCACATACATCATACACACATTTTATTTTCCTTAAGGGAGATCTAATTGAAGTTGAATACACAACTGATTTATCTTAGCATCCCTTCTCCGGTGTCTACCATAGGAGGTGATGCAGAACAAGTTTTTAACAAATGGATATGCAAATGAATAATACCAATATTTATCAATATATAGTTATTTTGCTTCTGCTTAAATCAAACCTTTTCTTCTACTCTCTTTAAATCTTAATTGATTAGTTTCTAGTTAACGGTGATTATTAGTTTATGCTAATTAAACACTTGGATATTATAAAAAGACTGCTGGATTTCTACAGGAAAAAAGTGACTTTTAGTTCCAGCTCTGTCATTTCACCTCTCCAAACCTCATTTTCCTCCTGTTTGGGCTCTCAGAAGTAAGAAACTGTGTCATTGGCTGGGCTCAGTAATGCACACATATAATCCCAGTGACTTGGGAGGCTGAGGCAGAAGGCTCACAAGTTCAAAGCCAGCCTCAGCAACTTAGCAAGGCTCTAAGCAACTTAGTGAGACCCTGCCTCAAAAAAAAAAAAATATATATATATATATATAAAAGACTCGGGATGTGGCTCAGTGGTTAAGTGACCCTGGATTCAATCTCTGGTACCCCCTCATCCCCCAAAAGAAAGAAACTGTTGTTGTTTATCTTTGTATTCTCTGTAGGAGCATGGTGTCTTGCTTATAACAGCTAATTTTATTCAATAATTACTATGGCAAGTGATTGTTTATATATATGTATCAACTTAACACTCATAAACTCTCTATGAGATAGGCAGCTCTATTATTCCCATTTTGCAGATAAAGAAACAGAGATAAAGAGAGGTGAAAAACACTTATTCAAGATTTACCAGTTGGTCTGCGAATATTCTCGCTGTTCTGATTTTTGTAATAATCAGGGCAGGCTAAACATTCGCTATATTAAGGCCATGCATGGTGTCCCCAGACCTAGTTCTTTCCCTGGGTCTGGTTTTATAAGTGCTGGTGATAAACCCAATCTGATTTACAATATGATCATTTTGTATGACCATACTATGACTATGATTCTACATTATCTTGATCCACCTTTTGAAAAATGATAGTACAGCTAGTGGGGTAACTTGCAAATAATCAATACTAAGTTGCAGACTTGTCTAAAAGAACATGTAAACAAAATACAGAAATTTTCTTACTACCAGTTGCCATTAAATGTATTGTAAAATTACTGTTTTTATTTTCTAGGTGATTCTGATATCATTAGAAGCATACCAGAACAGACTGGTGAAAAGTAAAATGTGTAAAATTTTTCTTTAATAAAACTTGGCAGAGTGTGTTTTAAAAACAAACAAACAAAAAAAAGATTTAGCCAGTTGGAAATGAAGGAGCCAGGATCTAAGCCCAAGCAGCAGGGCTTCAGAGCTCACACTCTTAACCATTAGACTAGATCACCTCTCAATAAATATTCGTTGACAATAAATAAATGAATGCAAGACAGTGATAACACTGCCCCCAAACTAATGAAAGTAAGACAAAGAGAAGATGTAAAAAGCACCTTGAAAAAACAGTGTTTTGGGCTGGGGATGTGGCTCAAGCGGTAGCGCGCTCGCCTGGCATGCGTGCGGCCCGGGTTCGATCCTCAGCACCACATACAAACAAAGATGTTGTGTCCGCCAAATACTAAAAAATAAATATTAAAAAATTCAAAAAAAAAAAAAAAAAGAAAAAACAGTGTTTTGTTTTACGTTTTTTAGTAGATCTTTTATTTGACAATAGATCTTTTATTTATTTATATGTGGTGCTAAAGGATCAAACCCAGGGCCTCACCATGCCAGGCAAGTGCTGTACCACTAAGCCACAACTCCAGCCCCCTGAAATTCTTTTTTTTTTTTTTAAAGAGAGAGAGAGAGAATTTGTAATATTTATTTTTTAGTTTTCGGCGGACACAACATCTTTATTTGTATGTGGTGCTGAGGATCAAACCCAGGCCGCACGTATGCCAGGCGAGCGCACTACCACTTGAGCCACATCTCCAGCCCCCCCTGAAATTCTTAATACAATATAGAAATATATGTAAATACTCTCTGGCTACTACTTATAGGGCTACTGGTAGGCACTGCATACATCTATTCCTAATCCTTACCACAATCTTGAAAATAGGCATCACTTATTAACCTTATTTGATAGGTAAGGGAACAGACTTAGAAAGAGTAAGTAACTTGCCTCAAGTCACATACCTATGTTTGAATAGAACAACTAGATTTCAAATTCAGGTTCTCAAGTCTGTGCTCCCTCCACCCACTATGCTGTCTTGAGCTTTTCTCTGTCCAAATTAATTGAAGCAAAGTAACATAAAGTTTGCTCTGCTCAGAATTTTAAAAAGCAGAAAAATTTCACGGTTCTATATGGAAATAACTGTTATTTATAATGATGTCCTTGAGGCCTTGTAAAATCCTAATGTATCTTTTAACATGTAGCTTGAGAGCCACAGGAACTTTTAAGGCTATGACTTAAAGATATGCTTTCTTGGAGTTCTGTGGTAAAGTGCATTTAATAAATTATAATTCTTTGCAATGTGGAAGTACATCTTAGTAAGTCACTTGTCCTAAATCCCTGAGTTGTGAAGTTAGAAGAGGATAAATGAGTTCTGACCTCTTGTTTTACAGATGAGGCAATTGGAATCCAGATTGGCAAATGATCTGCCAAGGGTCACACACTAATAAAGTGTGACTAAACCAGGACTAGACTCTAAAGCCCCCAGAATTCCAACTCATCCAATGCTTTCACCAATTTACAAAACTGCCCACCTGCTCAGTTGTCTTTTGGCTGGAAAGCCTAAAACTAGAGGAGCTGGGTAGAAAAGGAATGAAAATGAAATGGGAATAAAGCAACTGCAAATGTTTCTAATTAAAATAAAGACAGCAACCTTATCTATGTATTTACAGTTGAATTTCCTGGACGTCAAGTACCAGGCAGTGGTTGGGATGAGGTTTCCCAGAGTCCTGGAAGGTGGAAGGGCTCCTGACGTCTTCTATGTGCCAGCCCCCACAAAAGGGTGTGTGTGTGTCTGGGAACTCTGGTGGAAACAAAGTAACTCTCAGCCTCAAAGGTGCTGACAATTCAACTAGAATTGAGAAAGGATATGGGCTTTAAATTTTCCTAGAAAAACAGTAAAGTTTCTTTGCAGAGGAAACGTAGGAGGAGAAGCCAAGTTACCAAGTGGAGTTTGTGACTCAGTTTGTAGGAAATAATTAGAAGTCTGGATGTGGATGTATCCTTGGCGGAAAGAATAACTTTCCCAGAAGTTGTCTGCTTCTTTCCTCACCTCCAGCTCCTGGATGATGACGTCCTTATTTTCTATCTCTTCTCCTCTAGAAGGTAAACAGATAAATGATGACTAACAAGGAAAGCTCTGGCAAGAACAGATTTTGGTCTACTCTTTAAATAGCTGAAGAGACATGAATACATAACAGTTGTGTGTGCTGAGGCTGTTGCTCAGGGGGAAGAAATGATCACCTAGGTGGTGTGGTCTGAGCATGGTAAAAAGTACCAAAATGTCTTCTCGGTTGACCTGCCGAGATCTGAAATCCCTGCTGTGACAGCTAATAATTCATTAGTCCAGTTGCCCTCCAAGTGTGGTTTGGGGGGACCCTAGGGGTCCTCAAAAACTTTTTGAGGCGTGTCTAAGAGCAAATCTACTTTTATACTACTACTAAAATGTTATTTGCCTTTACAATTTTTCATTCGTACATTAATGCAAAAGCAACAGTGACAAAACTGCTGGTGCCTTGGCACAAATCTAGCTAACTGCACTAAGCTGTACCAGCAATCACAGTAATTATTACTGCCACATGGGAGAAAAAAATCCAGTTTCATATAATACCCTTGAGAAAGCAATAAAAAATAATTATAGAAAACCTCAACCCTTGACTACATCTCTTTTTTTATCTTCAAACTTATATAAATTTATTTTAGCTGATATATAAAAACAAAAATTGTACTTATTTATGGGGTTCCATGTGACATTTTGATACATGTATGAGTTGTACAGTGTTTAAATCAGAGTAAACATATCCATCTCTTCATTTATCATTTATTTATAGAGAAAACATTCAAAATAACTTCTTTTAGCTTTTTGACATACACAGTACATGACAGTATCTTTTAAAACATGTTATGTGATAACACAGGAAGTATGCATAAAGTTTTTCTTTTGCTTACCAGAATATACCAGGTTCAATATATAATGGCTGACTTGAGGAAAAGCACTCATGTGATTCTTTTTTTTTTTTTTGGTAGACATCTTTACTAGATGGGTTGAAGCCTTTCCAACTAGCAACAAGAGGGCTTCCACTGTAGCAACCTTACTTTCCAGGGAAAAAAATTCCATGCTTTGGATCCAGAGTTTACTTCCTCCATTACCCAAGAATTGGCTAAAATTTTAAATATAAAATGGAACTTCCACATTCCCTATCATCCACAGTCCTCAGGAAAAGTTGAAAGGACAAATAGACTCATGTGATTCTTTAAGTTGTCAAACTGAATGAGCTGCTTTTTCCATGAAATTATATTTTACTTGAATGGTCAGCTAACAAACAAACTATGGTTGTTATTCAGACTTGGGAGTTTGATAGACATTTTCTCAAAAATGAATAAAGTGAGTATGTCAACTCAAGGGAAACAACTGACAGTATTTGTTGTCAATGGTATATCTGGGGCTCTCAAGAGAAATTTTGAATTTTGGAAAACTTCTATTCACCATTGTAAGTTTGACAGTGTCAATCTGATAAGATTGGTAGTGACATTAATTTTTTTTATATTATATAATGAAACGTGTCAACTTTTAGAAGATCTGAGGAGGTCGGTGAATCAAAACTTTCTAGGGGCTGGGGTTGTGGTTCAGTGGTAGAGCACTTGCCTTGCTTGCTCGAGGCACTGGGTTTGATCCCCAGCACAACAGAAAAATAAACAAATAAAATAAAGCTATTATGTCCATCTAAAACTAAAAAAATATTTTAAAAAATACCAAATGACCAATGGAATTCATCATATTACAATATCATGCTAAATACAACATTCATTAAAAAAACAAAAACAAGATAGGCCAATGGATTTTAACATAAGAGTTCAAAAAGTTCACTGTTATAATTTCAGATTTCACATTGCAACTAACATTAGGGGGAAAAATACCCTACCATTTGAAAAAACCACAAACTACCACTTGTCCATGTTTTTGTTTTTGTTTTGTGATGCTGGGGATGGAACCCAGAGCCCTGTGCATGCTATATACCCCAACTCAATCAAGTTTAGATGTAGGATCAAAGAAGAATATCTATGATGATTTGAAAGGGCTATTATTATGTTTCTACCTACCTTTCCCAACTACAAATTTATGAGTTGGTCTTTTTTTAAAAAAAATGTCAACAAAAACAAAAACAATGCAACAGACTGAATGTGGAAGTAGATATGGTAATGCAGCTAACAGTCTCAGACACTAATATATTTGCAGAAATGTAAAATGATGCCAATCTTCTCAACATTTTTTTTTCACTTTAGAAAATATTTTAAAATAAAAACACATGAAAACTTCATGGATATATCATTTTAAAATTAATACATTTAACAAATTTACCATTTGTTCATTTTGAAGCATATAACTCACTGGTATCACTTCTACAATGTGGTATTGTAACAGTGGTCCATTTTATGCTTTGAATATAGTCCCTGCTGCCCTGCCCCTGCAATTTATTTTAAAAATAGACATTTCTTTCTCTTCCTCTCTCCCCTCTCCTCCCTAATCTCTCCCCCTCCCTAATCTCAAGGGAGATAAGATTACCTTTTTCCCCATCCCAAGTAGAGTTATCTGTCCCAGAGTACACACCCACCACAGGAATGAAGTAATCCAGATTTGGGGGATGGCACCAGAAGATATCAGAAATGACTATCTCCCAAATTAACAAGTGAATTACAACTCCCACAGAGAAAGTGTGGAATATAACCTTTGAGTCACCTCTTTAAAAGCCCCCTGTTCCTGCTGATGGGCAGAATCACAACCTTTGGGACAGGAGTCCCTGTGTTTCTCCTTTAACTAGCAAAGCAATAAATCTTCTTCTTCCTTTTTCTCAAAACTGTATCCTTGGGACTGGGATTGTGGCTCAGTGGTAGAGCGCTTGCTTAGCATGCGTGAGGCACTGGGTTCGATCTTCAGCAACACATAAAAATAAAGGTATTGTGTCCACCTACATCTGGAGAATAAATGTTTAAAAAAAATGTATCCTTGTTATTGGATTGGCACTGGGGACAAAGATTGAGCTTTCGGAAACAGTATGACCATCACTACTATTTCCAAAATTTTCTATCATCCCAAGCAGAAACACTGCTCAAGCATTAAGTCTCCATTCTTCCCTCCTCTCAGCCCCCATGTCCTCTAATCTACTTTCTGTCTCTGAATTTCCATTTCATACAAATGGAATCATACAATATTTGTCCTTTTGTGATTGACTTTTTTTTCACTTAACATATGCTTCAAAAAATTATCCTCCTTATACGTATATCACAACTTCATTCTTTTTTGCAATTTCTTTTTATGGACTACAGATAATCCATTGTGCATATATACCATTTTTTAAATTTTTTTATTCATTTATTCACTGATGGACACTTGGGTTGTTTCCACCTTCTGGCTACTGTGACCAATGCTGCTATGAGCATCACTGTACAAGTTATACGAGTCTCTGTTTTCAATTCTAGGAATATAATTGCTGGTCATATGGTAATTATGTTTTAAATTTTTGATAAACTGCCAATCTGTTTTCTATAGCAGCTGCACCATTTTACATTCCCACCAGCAATTTACAAGGGTTCCAAATTTCTTCACATTTTTGCCAACAGTGTTACCTTCTGCTTTTTTTTTTTTTTCAGCCATGCTGGCAGGTATATTGTGGTTTTGATATGTATTTCCCTACTGATTAATGATATTGGGTATCTTTTCATAAGCTGCTGGCCATTTGTATATCTTCTTTGGAGAAATGCCTATTCAAGCCCATTGTCTGTTTTCTAGTTGGATTGTTTATTTTTCTGTTGTTTAGTTGTAAGTGTTCTCTATATATTTTGAATATTAAACCCTGATCAGATATATGATTTGCAAATATTTTTTTCCATGCTGTGGGTTGCCTTTTACTCAGTTAGGTACTTTTTATTAGATCCAAACCATAACAGAGAATCCTATAATATGCTAATCCAACAACTGGACAGCAGTCTCCTGAACAGAATGAAGACAAAGAGAGGATGAGCCTGGAAGAATATACTAATTTGGGCTTACACAGGCTAACCTCCTATCTTGAAAATTACCTGATGCTGTTGCCATATCTGATTTTGAATTTGTACACGTTGGGTCCTGCGTGAAGAAACCTCGTCTCTGGAAATGGGTAGGTAAAAGGTTTTAAACTCATTGCTTCCAAATGGTAGCCTAAATGAAGTAGAAATATTAGAGAATTATTAAAAGGGAAAATATTGTTCCTTGCATATGGGAAAGGGAGCTTATTCAATCTGTAGTATCTCTTCTCAAGTAAAATGCCCAACACTTAGTACCATTGCCCTTGTACCAGGCTCAGGTCTGCTATTAGTTATTGGGACCATTCTCCTACCCGCATGGGGAAGATTCATGGTGTGTTGGGATATCTCTGCTTGAAGGCAAAAGACCAGAATGCAAGTTTTGTTGTTTATCTTGTGGCCTTGTGCAAACTACTTCTCTTACATAGACTAATGATGCTAACATCTGCCTTGATTATTCACAAAGTTATGGTTACAATGAAACATTTCTCCCAAATATTTCTCAAATCTATTATCCTTCCCTATTCCCACTTCTCCTGGAACCTAGGTGAGTATGAAGAGGCTCAAGTTAAATAATGAGACAATTCAGAGGATACATCAATAATAGGCATAATGAGGAGGACCTCTGCCATTAATTTGAGATGAAATTAAGGAATCAGCACAGCTCCCTTACACAGCCAATGCAATAGATAAGGATGTACACCCTAAGGTTTCCCTGTCTTGTAAGAAATCCCTGCCTCTCAATTATTCTTCCTTTCTATCATTTGTGAGGCTTCCCTAAGCCCCAAGAGTGCCTACTATACCCCTAGCACTACTACTTTTATTTTTCTAATTCCAGAATCTCTGACCACCTAAGTTAAATTCCACAGGGAACTCAGTAAAGGGGTAAGATGATATGGGGAGGATGGCATGCTGCTTCTCCAAGAAGGCATCTGCATGAGCTCAAAGGTACACTATGATTTTTGTCACTAGGGCTTTGTTGTGACACTTTATAGAGATAATAAACCTTGCATTCCTTTTGTCTCTTCATATGGAAATTTAAATAATGAGTAGAGAAAGAGGTCTGGAATTCTAAAGGATCAAAGCTACCTGTATACAACATAAGGTATTGATTTCAGAGAGAGCTGAGATAGAGTAAACAGAATAGGTACAATGTAAGATGAATCTGAGTTTGAATCTCAGATCCAGTGACCCCTTTAATTTCTCTGAGCCTTGGTTTTCTTACACAACAACAAACAACAATGACTTTTTTTCTTTTTTTTAAAAGTCAGGGGTTCACTATATTGTCCAGGCTGCCCTGAACTCCCTGGGCTCAAGCAATCCTCACACCTCAGCCTCCCAAGGAGCTGAGATTATAGGAATGTACCACTGTACCCAACTAACAACTTTTGCCATGCCCTATTCTAATTGCTGTATATATTATCTTATTTCATCTTCACAAAAAAATTATGAGCTAAGTAGTCTAAGTTTGATAAATGAGGAAACTGAGGCACTGAGAGTTGAAATGACCAGCACATAGCTATGAATATTGGAATCTGGATTCAGACTTAAGTATAGATCCATTAACTACTCTGCCAGTGGAATATCTGGGGAATATTAGGAGGAAAAACAAGTTAATAAACAAAATAATTTTGCAAGTAGTAAAATATCATTCACACATAAAGGACTATTTCCATTATTCTTCCTTTCATATTACCCTAATGTCATTTCTACTTTGCAGGGAAAACTCTTGTATGTTGAAGTCAGCAGATCTTTGGGCCCAAAGAATGGAATTTCCCATAGTTTCCAAAGTTTAAGTCTGGGTTGCCAGTAAGGAGAGACTCCAGGGTCTGATCTCGGCTCTGTGGGATTAGAATGAAAGGAGAGTGGAGCCAGAATTCATGAGACTATTTAGACTAAAATTGCAGTCAAAACTAAAAAGTAGTTGATGCCAAGTCCAAAGTCGCTGGAGTGGAAATATTGTTTATAGCCTAAGAAAAAAACTTGCTGATGCCCTTTGTCCAGGGTATAGCAGGAGCTCAAATCTAGATTTGATATAGTTTTGGTGCCAAATGAGTTTTCTATGTAGTAGGCAGGGAGCCACCTGGTGAGACTTAGTTGCTGCCACAGAATTTTAGCCCTGTTATTCAGAGTTCTTCTAAGATGTAGTCACCTGGGGCCTGGGGGCATCAGAGCAAAAGAAATGAAGAACATTTGCTGGATGTGACAATCTAGAGAGGAAATGTTACGTGCTACACACCATAGCTGGCTGTTTGAAAGAAGAAAAAACAACCTACTTCTAGCTGGGGCCTGTTCCTGTTAATTGCTGGCTGCCCACTTCAGAAACAAACAGCACACGCTAATTACCTCATGTGAAAATAAAGATTAGACAGCATAATCCAAAACAACAACATAGTAGTAATGGTTCAAAGATTTCACAGGATTATTTTCCAACATTTTTTACTGTAGCCATAGTGACATTATGTCCCAGTAATGAGTTGATATTACCTTGCAGAAAAAGGTCAGATTCTAGGGCTGGGGATGTGGCTCAAGTGGTAGCACGCTCGCCTGGCATGCGTGCGGCCCAGGTTCGATCCTCAGCACCACATACAAACAAAGATGTTGTGTCCGCCGATAACTACAAAATAAAAATATTAAAAATTCTCTCTCTCTCTCACTCTTTCTTTAAAAAAAAAAAAAGAAAAAGGTCAGATTCTAGACCCATTTTTAGGTGACCACAAATCATGATGGCTTTTAAGTAAATGAAGAGAAATTATAGAAGAATGGGATGGTGCAAAAGACGTAAGATTTAAAATTGGAAGACCAAGGCTTAAGTTCTACTTTTGCCCCTCATTAGTCATTAGCAAATCAATTAGTCTTTTCATTTCTTAGTTTCTACATCTACAATGGGAATTGCACCTACCCCTGGACTGTTGAAGGAATTAAATAAGATAATGTGGTAAGCAGCTACTCCACAAATTCCGGAGTATAATATAAAATACCAGCTATTATGATAGATTTGAAGAGTTTCTTTCTGAATGCTTTACAAGAAAAGTGAATCCAAGAAAGCAAAGTTGATTAGCTTTAACCTCAGTGCAAAAATCTGACAGATCCCAGCCTAGAACCTTTCCTTGAAAATACACAAGTATTGGGCTGGGGATGTGGCTCAAGCAGTAGCGCGCTCGCCTGGCATGTGTGCCGCCCAGGTTCGATCCTCAGCACCCCATACAAACAAAGATGTTGTGTCCGCCGAAAACTAAAAAATAAATGTTTAAAAATTATCTCTCTCTCACTTTTTTTTTTTTAAAAAAAGATGAAGATTCATCAACTCTAAAAAATCTTAAAAAAAAAAAAAGAAAGAAAATACTCAAGTATTAGATTTAAAAGACACACAGAGCCAGGCATGGTGATGCACACCTATAATCCATTACTTGAGAGGCTGAGGCAGAAGGATTGCAAGTTTGAGGCCAGCCTTGGCAATTCAGTAAGACCTGGTCTCAAAATAAAAATTAAAAAAGGGCTGGGGATGTAGCTCAGTGGTAAAGTGACCCTGAGTTCAATTCCTGGTATCAAGGGAAAAAAAAATGAAAGTAACAACTTCCACAAAGTCACATAATCCAGTATGGACCCAGGAATAGTCCCTCAAGATTGTCAACCCTTCTGGTCTCTGCATTTTCCCATTACAACCTATCATGTTGTCATTTTAATCTACAACCTGTTCACACTCATGACTAAGGATGATCCCAGGCAAATTCATTCTGGACAGAGATATTGAAACAAAATATGAACTTTTCTGATGAATGGTTCATAGAATTATAATTTGGAATGTAAACTCTTATATTCACATTTTTTGTCTTCAAGCTCCATTTTCAAAAGAACTATTCTGTTTCTTCACAATGTAGGGTGATAAGGATAACTAATAAAATAATGCATGTATAATTGCTCACTGAAGTACTTAGCACATAGGTTACCCAATAAGGAAGTCATATGTGTGTATGTGTATATATGTGTATATGTAATATATAACACATATAATATATACACACACACATATATGTGTATATATTTTGCATGGGGGGGGGGGCGGTGGGTACAGGAGTTGAACCCAGGGACTTATTCTTGCTAGTTAAGTGCTTTACCACTGAACCACACCCCAAGCCCAAGAAATTTTTTTTTAAACAAAAGCATTAAGATACAAGATAGAAAGAGATTGATGAGGCTACTTCCAAGCTTACTGACATCATTCTGTTTTCTCAAAGGTTTTCTCCCCCTTTCTGGTAAGATGTAACCTTTAAAATGCCACTGGCATTCGTGCAGGAATAGATTTGCCCTTGGACCTGTTTCAGGTTTTGTTTGGGGGAGGAGGGAGAGTAATTAAACTTAATAGGAAGAGAACCCTCACATGAAATCAAAAGGTCTTAGTGGACATCTCAATAAACCAGAAATGAATCTAAATTAACCTCTTAAATTACTCTTCACACCTAAGTGCATCTTCTACTTCCATCTTAACCCTAAAAGTTAATGAAAAATGTGCTTTGGTCAATAGATCCAGGATTGTGCTCTTTATCCAAAAAAGCAGTGGTTCCTCATCTCAAGACCCACCTAGCAGTTGTGACTTGTCACATGAAAATCATCAACCACTGCATTAGCATTCACACCACCCTGAACTCACTAAGAATCCTACCAACCCCAGAAACCCAAAAGGCATTTGGATGTAAAATTGCAGGCAGTGAGGGACATTTTATTTTATAGTTATACCACTGGGTGACCTGCCCTGAAAGATTACATGTAGGGAGAAGATTAAAAATGAACAGGAAGGGGGGCTGGAGTTGTGGCTCAGTGGTAGAGCACTTGCCTCATACGCGTGAGTCCCTGAGTTAGATCTTCAGCACCACATAAAAATAAATAAATTGGGCTGGGGTTGTGGCTGAGCTGTAGAGTGCTCACCTAGCACGTGTGAGGCTCTGGGTTCGATCCTCAGCACCACATAAAAATAAATAAGTAAAATAATGGTATTGTGTCCAACTACAATTGAAAAATAAATATTTAAAACAAACAAATAAATAAATAAATAAAAATAAAGATATTGTGTCCATCTACAAGTTTTCTAAATGAAAAGGAAAAAAAAGCAGTATCAATAGTTTCAAAAGGGCAAGTGGTGGAAAGAATATCCTCAGTTGAAGAGAAAGGAAGCATCTTTTACAACGTCAAGCTATAAACTGAGCCTCTAATATACATACCTCAATAGTCTTAGTGGCAGAAGATACAGGGAAGTGTAAAAAGAAGCCTCCAACATATACTTTATTCTTGGCATGAAACAATGGTAGATTCTGAGGAAATTAATAAGAAAACAAAGTGCTGGGTGAAGTGAGGCAGGCGTGTAATCCTAGGGACTTCGAAGGCTGAGGCAGAAATAACACAAATTCTAAGCCACCCAGGTAATTTAGTGAGACCCTGTATATTACCTTACAAACTGACCTAGACTCAGCATTAGCTGTAATTCTTCATATTTTACCACTTCAGCATAATGAATTAGGCTAATAATTGAAAAGAAACAGAAAGTTTTGCACTTTGAAAGGCCATCAGACCACAGGGATCTGACAGCGAATAGGGCTTACCCAGGAAAAAAACAAAATACAACCCTCTTTCTTTCTTCTTTCTTTTGCAGTGCTAGAGATTGAACCCAGGGCCTCATACACACCAGGCAAATGGTCTACCACTAGTTATACCCTCAGCCCCCCGCAATATCTTATTTATAAAGCACTTTTAATTTATACATAATGCTTTCAAATGATCCAAAATTTTCTACTGAAGTAGGCGGGACAGATTCAGATAGCACTTATGCTCCATGCTCAGTGTTTTTTTTTTTTTTAACTTTTACCCAAATTTGACTATTTCAATCTTGTGTTCATTTAACATTTATTCCTTTGGTTCACAAATACCTGCATCCCCACTCTGTGCCAGAAACTAAGAACTGGAGGTAAAGACAATAAGGTCTTGATCCTTGCCTGCAAAGAGCTTACAAATGGTTTTAACAGCTACATACAAAGAGGGTGATGTGGAAAAACCAGAGAATCCTAACATACACTGGAGTCAGGGAAGCCCAGTGGTTTTTTTTTTTTTCTTTTTTTTGGACTGGGGATTGAACTCCAGGGGCACTCAACCACTGAGCCACATCCCAGCTCTATTTTGTATTTTATTTAGAGCAGGGTATCACTGAGTTGCTAAGTGCCTTGCCATTGCTGAGACTGGCTTTGAACTTGCAATCCTCCTGTCTCAGCCTCCCGAGCTGCTGGGATTACAGGCGTGTGCTACCACACCCAGCTGGGAAGCCCACTCTTAAGGGATTCATTTCTGAGCATCAAGTAGAGAGGCACAAATGGTGAGTAGGTATGGGGTCTGGGTTCCAACAAGAAACAGCATGTACAAGAGTCCTCAGTTAGGAGAAAGCATGGGACACTCAGAAGTACAGTAACCTAGAACATAGTGTGCACGTGCTGAGTCAGATTAGCTGTGAGCTAGTTGTCATACATCTTGAGAACCTACTGTGCACTGGGCTCTGTTCTGGGAACTGATATAGTAGGTAACAAGAGAGATGTGATTTTTCATCTCTAATGGCTTACATTAAAGGTGGTGTGGAGAACAACAATAAGCACACAAAAATTTAAATTATTTGAGTAGTATGAAAAAAACATATTTTGTGGATATGTGTGTTGGTACCTGGATTGAACACAGGGGCACTCCATTAAAATGGCCACATACCCAGCCATTTTAATTTTATCTTGAGATGGGGGTCTTGCTAAGTTGCTGAGGTTGGCCTCAAACTTGCAATCCTCCTGCCTCCACCTTCTGACATGCTGGGACTATGGGGATGTGCCACCTCACCTGGTTTAAAATAGGCTTTTAAAGTAGAGTCATTAGAAGACTGCTTTAATGTGGCCAGTGAGGGATTTTCAGAGATCACAAGAGACGAGGCCATAATGGAAAAGAAACAACCATGCAAAGATCAGGAGAAAAAGCATCCCAAGTAGAAAACACAGCAAGCACAGATGCTCTGTGATGGGCACTTTAAGGGACAGAAAGGTCAGTGTGACAAGAAATTAGAGAATGAAGACAGAGTAGAAGGAGACAAAGTCAGTGTGTTAGGCAGAAGCCAGACCATGCAAAGCTTATGAGTCATTGTAAAAAGCCCAGAGTTTATGCTAAGGGCTTTATAAAGGGGAGAGAAATGGTTTGTTTTAGAAATTACATAAATATCTGGTTGCTAAAAGGAAGAAAACTGTAAGGCAACAAGATCAGAAACAGGGAGATCAGTTAGGAAGCTGCTGTAGTATTCTAGGAGAAAGATGCTATTGACGTGGACTTGGGGTTTTATAAGTCATGGTTGAATTTCAGGTGCATTTTACATTAACTCATAGATTTTTTATGGGACTCTAGGATGACTCTTAGCAATTAGCTGGATAGTGGTACATACCCTTTACTGAGACAGGGAAGATTCTAGGAAAAAAAAGACTGGGGTGCAGAATCAATAGCTCTGTTTTGGTTAAGTCTGAGAAGCTCTATTAGACATCCAAATGGTTATGATAAGGAGGAAGACTCTTTTTGTGCAAGGGATGGAAACCAGGATGGAAATATAAATTTGAGTCATCAGTGTTTAGAAGGCATTTGAAGCTACTGAAATGGATGAGATCATCTAGGAAGAAAGCAGAGAGAAAGGATGACAGCCTTCCTCATAAGCTGAAATTGTGCAGCAGATCCTAAGAGAAATCAGAAGGCACTGAAGGGTATATATATTAAAAAAAAAAAAAAAAAGACACATCCAGAAGGCTGTTAATGTGGGAAACAACCCAGAACAAGAGACGAGAGGGGACCAGCTAGGAGACTCTAGCAGCTTCAGGGAGAAGCTTACTGTGGTTTGGACTATGGTGATATAAGTGGAGATGAAGAAAGGTGGATCTGATTGGGAAGATGCCCAATTTGGTGACTTCTTGGGGAGGTAACAGTCCACGGTGACTCCCAGTGAGCTAAGTGACCCCTCCTAAAAAAAAAAAAAAAGCCTGGGAAAGTTTGTTGTTGTTGTTTTCAGTTCTTGGCAGTGCTTGAACCCACGGCCTCAGGCATGCTAAGCACTTGCCCTACCTTTGGGCTACACCGCCCCCCCCCCCCAGGTCCAAAAGCCAAATGTGGAGGAGAGGATGCTGAGTTCACATTTGGACATGCCCAGCTTCCAGGTGCCCACGAGATACCATACCGTACACTGTTGGGCACTGTGGTTTCCCTGCAGGCCCGCAAGTGAACTAGAGATGAGAAAAGTCGAGGGTGGTCAGCACAGTGCACCGGCCTGCATCTTTCTGTCTACCTTTTCAGCTCTCAGGAAGCCCTGGGAGCTGAACCAAGATCTCAGGGAGAACCATGAGTCAAATATTTACTTCCCAGGCGCAATCAGGCATTTGAAAGCCAGAGATTCATTCGGATCATCAAGACATGATGTGACAGGAAACGTGTTCATGGCAACTGCTAAGCCTGACTTAGAGGGTGGAGATGGATCAAAGGAGCCCTTCTCCAGGCGGGAGTTTCTGGGTGCGGGGAGCGGGGAGCCTCGGAGGGCTGGGTGGGCAGCAGCACGCGGGTCCCTCGCCAGCCGTGCCCGCGCTGCCCACGGCGCCCTGCAGCATCCCCGGGGCGACAGGGTGACCTCTCAGGAGGCTGCCGAGGGTGAGGCCGAGCCGCGGGAAAAGGAAAGAGTCACAAAGCCGACCTCGCGGGGGCATCGGGCCGCGGGCCATTACCTCAGCCCCCGGCAGCTACGAGCTCAACTAGGCTCTCGCGCACTGACTAGGCGTCCGTCGCGCCTCAGGAAAGTGGCCACGGACGGAGGAGTATCGGCTAAGAAACGTTCTCTGAGAAGGGCGGACGCCGACCTGGACCCAAGCCACATTCGACGCTCAGTCGCTCAGGCGTCCGCCCGGCCCTATGCGCATGCGCAGCTGGACATCTCACCCCGCCCACGCCGGGCGCGCCCTGATCGCGGTCTGCGCTTGCGCCAGCAGAGCCCCTGCAGGAAGCCCTGCTGGAGTTGCACGTGTCCCGCCTGTCAGATCAGGTCCAGACGTGGTTCAGTTGCTCCTAACCTTATCCACCGACTTTTTTGTGTGTGGTGTCCGCAGTACTGGGGGTTGACTCAGGGGTGCTGTGCTACTGAGGCCACATCTCCAGCCCTTTTTAATTTTGAAACCGGTCACACTAAATTGCCAAGGCTGGCGTTGAACTTGCAAACTGGCATGCGCCGTCACCCCAGCCACCTTGCCTGCTAGGTCCCTGGCGAGTCCTGTTGGGTAGAAGTGGCTGCAGGGGGTGGGGGTGGGGGTGGGGGGAGCTCCTGTGTGCAATGCATTGTGCAAGTCACTGCCTGTGCCTGTTGTCTTTTAATCCTCACCATCGTGCTCTAAGGCATAACTTCACTCCCCAATTTGAAGGACACCCAAAAATGGGAGAACAAGGACTTGAACACAGTTTGTGTGATTACAAAGACGAAGGAACTTTCCCTTCCACTTCCTATTGATAAGTTCTGACTGTGTTGTGAATTACCAAGTAATTTGGCTCCCACATCTGCCGAGTGTGCTGGCTTGGTGATGACGGACCTGTGCACTTGGGTGATCTCTGCAGCCACATATATAAGCCCGTGCGGTTTCCTCTTCGTGGACTGCCTCCCCCTACCACTTTATAAAGTCCTACTCCCATTCCCAGGTAGTAAATCTTGTACATCTTTTTGTTGTTGTTGTTGTTTTGACCACAAACGGTCCTTTTTCCATCTTGGAATTTTGGAACCAATAATAAGACTGAGTGCTGACTGAGCAGTGAAGGCAGGCTTCTTCTTGGCCAAGATAGAGAAATGGAAGATACATTCTCAATTCAACTTCTTGACCTTGGAGTCAAGAGGTTATAGATAGAGGGAAAAAGAAACAGGGGGAGGGATAAGGTAATAAAGGGGGAATGGACTGAGACTTTCTGGGAATTCAGGTGCCACCTATTTTCTGTCCTTCTATGTTTTTTACAGTTGTAGCCATGGCAGTTGTCAGCTGTCAAGGTGCTGGGGGCAGGGTGTGGTCTAGCAAACCCATGGGATTATAATGTGGGGTCACTTGGGTCCCATCTTGGATCCAGCTGGTTTCAGCCAGCCCACCCAAAGAGGGAACTTCTGGCCTGCAGACTTGTGATCAAAAATAAACAAGATTAGGACCCCATAGAAATTCAGCTGGGTCATCCTAGGCAGTAGAAGACCAGGTCAGGGTAATATTTTTACAATCAAGACATTTAATTATGGGTGGTAGAAATGCCTGGGAAAGCAAGGCAGGAAAAGGAAAGAAGTAGGGGTGGAGTGGGGGGTTAGTGAGAGGAAACTGGATCTTGGGAGGGCACCCGGGGCTGGAGATGTAGCTCAGTTGGTAGAGCACTTGCTTAGCTTTGCAAGGCCTTGGGTTTGTTCCCAAGCACTACAAAAATTAATTAAAAATAAAGAGGGCATCTGCCATCCAGTCTCCCACTGAAGGAAAGCCTGGGGGGAAGTGTCCCTTTTTCATGCCAGATCTGACTTTTTAAGAGCAGCTGGAGGTGTATTTTCATAGGAAATCTTCTAATTTAAAAATGTTGGCAGCCAGGCATGGTGGTGCACACCTGTAATCCCAGCGGCATGGGAGGCTGAGATGGGAGGATAGCAAATTCAAAGCCAGCCTCAGCAAAAACGAGGTACTAAGCAAATCAGTGAGACTCTGTCTCTAAATAAAATACAAAATAGGGCTGGGGATGTGGCTCAGTGGTCAAGTGCCCCTGAATTCAATCTCCAGTACCAAAAAAAAAAAATGTTGGCAACTGTGAGGATGGCCTTAGGCCTGAGCCTAAGCAACTCCATTTTAAAAACTCCAGTTTGAAACCTGCAGTCTCACCAGGCACATCTAACAGATCCCTCCAATATGGCCTCAAACAAATCACTTCCCCTCACCCTGATAAACAGAGTGAAGCCCCTGGCACGCTGTACTGGCCTAATAAGAGGGAAACGTGAGAAGATAAGGGTGGAGACCACCAGACTAGATGTTTCAAACCCCAAGGTAAATGATATCATGGAGAAATCCCTGGTAGCTGATAAGTATTACAAGAGAGTGTGAAAAGCCCCAAAATTTAATATAAATAATAGAGCTAATGAATAGGGATTCAGCCAGCCGAAACAAGGATGCACTCTAGCTGGAGAGCCTGATGAGGACCTGGACTGACATCCCATCACTTGTCATTGTTTCCTGACCCTCTGTGTGATCCTCACTGCTCTCAAACCCTACTGCCTCCTCTGGACCTTGGTGAGAGCCTCACCTTCTCCCTACGACCTTCTCCTTTACCAGTTGGTCGTCCACTCCATGCAGGAAAAGCCTGCCTTGGTTCTGGACCTGGTCACCGTGGTCTGAGTGAGTGTGCATCTGCTGGACACAAAGCCTAAGGCTTAAGACTTTTGAACTTAGCCTGCAGAGGAAATGTCTGTCATGAGCCTGTCATGATTAAGTGTGTTTGCAGTGCCTAGGATTAATCTAGAATTGTTTGCTGTGAATTGATTATGTCTTTTGCAGTGCCTAGCATTAAGGATTGTCTTTTCTTGATTAAGAACCTATAGAGTGAAATTGTATTGAGTAATTTGAGTGAATAAAGCATTGAAAGGGGCAAAAGTGTAGAATTCTTTATTTCTCCCTTCGACTGCATACGTCGCAATTTTGCCCCCTCGCCATAGCAACTCCCTGAAAAGTGAGTACACTGTGTGCACTGAGACTAATGCAGTTGTGGCCAGGGGCAACTCCTGGGTGTGACCTTGCCTGGCACAGAGTAAAAGTTGCCCAAGTCAATAGGACTTGGGTCTCAGTACAGGACAATCTCCCAGCCGCTGTTGGGTGTGCGTCACTTGTAGTCATCATCCTGGGAACTAGAAGAAGGACCCTTCTTGGGTGGGTGAAGGTCCCAGGCTTCTGAATACAGTATTTAGCTTTAAATGTAAAATTATTTGGGATGTAAGAAAAGCAGCAGAAAGGGGCTGGGGTTGTGGCTCAGTGGTAGAGTGCTTACCTGGCAAGTGCGAAGCCCTGGGTTTGATCCTCTGCACTAGGTATAAATAAAATAAAGGTATTATGTGCAACTACAACTAAAAATAATATTTTTTAAAGAAGAGAAATGAAAGCAGCAGGGAGACCAGAGTGGAAAGTTACAAGTAGTTGACACCAGAGTATGGAAAAGTCACCACCCCTTGACAAACAGGAGGTGAGGGGCAAGGGACTGGCCTGACGAGCAGAAACAGAGTGAGTATGTGCCAAGATGCACTCACTCCTAGAAGGCTTTCCCAACCACAGGAGAACAAAGGGAGGTGGGGACAACTATTGGCATCAGATCAATATTGGCCTCAGATTCGCCATTTTAGGTCGGGAGCCATTGTATCTAGAGGCTCCAAAGTTTGGATTCTGAGGCAAAGCTGCTTAACTTCCCATAAGACCATGTGCCCGCTAAATGATCAGCCCCACCCCAGCTTATGATGCAGCTCCTAAGCAGCTTATGAAATTCCTCTTGCAGGCTATAAAGCTGCCCCGTGAGTGCCACACGCTGCTGCTCTCCTCGGAGGGACAGCCTTGTCGGTTTGCCTTGTGCTACTGACAATAAGTCTCTTGTGTGAGTTTCTGGTGTGTGGCGTGGTCTTTGGACTTTGTGTGGACTATACAAGTGTCCTTTCAACACCTGAAGGTACATTTCTTTAAATAACCCAATAGGAGACAGTAAAGACCCCCATAGTACTTAGCAATTGAGGAACCAGGGGAGGGACCTTGCACACTAGGGAATAAAATGCTGATTGTCACTGCTCTGGATGTGCGTACTCACCCAGGCACGGATCTTGCAAGACCATCATTAAAAGCCTCGTTTTCTCTGTACCTTCATCTCTAAGTTCATTCTTCAGATGTGGACAGGAGAGCCTGTGTCTCACAATCTGCCTACCTGGATGCTACTTGTGCCTCAGATTATGAGGGGAAAGATGGAGAGCCTTAAATGGCCACCTGTGTGATGTGTGCAACTCTGAGGAGAAGTGGCCCCTGGCAGGAAGTGACCTGCACTTAGATCTGCACTTATTTCCCACCAGCCTGCAGAGAAATAAACAGGCTGGGGATTCTGACCAGAGGGCATTATTACAACCCCAAATAACCAATCCTACTTTCTGTCATCTACAACTATGAGGTCTCAAGTGATGTAAAAGAAACACATCAACACTTAGAATAAGATTGAACCAAAGTACCTCCTGGCAGACACAAACCGTTACTCGCTGCAGTCCAGGCATGAGGGCTGCCCCTGTGAGCCCAGGTGGCTTTTCAGTCCATGTGGCCCATGGCCATTTGTCATGAAGCCATGGCTGCTTCATGGGGCTCTGGCTGAGGGGCAGTAACAGGATGCCACTAGAGGGAGAAATTCTCACTGAAACAACAGGAGATCCTTGGGCCAGAGGAGAGGCCCGGGCAATACCTGAGCAGGAATTTCAGGTGGGAGTACCAGGTAGGGAGTAAGAGCAAGGGAGATTATTAGAGAAGGGAAGGGCTGGAGTGAATATTTAAGAGACTAGATTCTGCAGTTTGAAGCCAGAGAGTTAAAGGAATAACCAATATTTATTCAATCAACAAATATTTATTGAATAACTATTACTTACCAAGCACTGTTCTAGGCCCTGGGGATACCATGGTGAACAAGACAGAGTCACCTGCCGTCATGAAGATGACATTGAGGTCAGACTCCATGGGGAGATTGGTGGTGTGATCTGTCCTCTGATACTGCCTGGGGCATCAGCCAGACATAGAAGTTGATTTGTGGGCAACTCAGAAAGGGTATTGGGTCTGGCTGACCCTGCTTAAGAGGTAGAGGTGGGACAGACACTGGCGACCACAGACAAGACATGGGGAGGGGCCCCCACTTCTGGGGTCCTTGTCCCTAGGGAAGCACTTGATATTTTCCATTAATTTTTTTTTTCGCAGTTCTCGTAGCTGTGTAATGTTATCCAGGGGTAGATTTGCCTTGTCCCTAGGGATTCTTTTTTCTATAAACTACTAATAAAGTTTTTGAAGTTTACATACAGAAACAGGGTGAGGATGTCCCAGAACACAGGTTTAGCATGCATGAGGCCTTGAGTTGAATCCCCAGCAGCGCACGGACACAGTGACATTCAGAAAAAGACACTCCTTTCAATATATAATTCTATGATTTTTAACGCATGCCAAACATTTTTAGCACATCCTATTCAAGGATAGGTAAAAATAGAGAATAGTTCCTCCCGTGAATTCCCTCAAGCTGTCCATCTGCAATCAGGAGATTTGCAGGAGGCCCAGGAAGGATAGTCCAGTCCTGCTGCATCTGTGTGTCTATAAGAAGTGCAGTTACTGTACCCCTATCCCCTGGCAACCTAGATATAACAATAATCCAGTCCTTTTTGTTGCAAGTGGTATCTGTTATATGGCTATTCACCATTTGGTTGTCTATTTGCATATTTATGGACATTTAGGTTGTTTTTCTAGTTTTGGCAATTTTGAATAGAGCTTCTCTCCATGTGCACTTACAGATAGGCATGGGGGCGCATACCTGTAATCCTGGAGGCTCAGGAGGCTGGGGCAGGAGGATCGCAAATGTGAGGCCAACCTCAGCAACTTAGTGAGACCCTGTATTCAAAATAAATAAATAAATACATAAAAGGGCTGAGGATGTAGCTCAGTGGTAAAGCCCCCCTCGTTTATCCCAGTGACACACACACAAAAGGCACATGCAGGTTGTTGTGTGGACTTCTGTCTTCATATTTCTAGAGTAAGAGCCTAGAAATGGGACACTGGATTAGATGGCAAGTGTATTTTTAACTTTATAAGAAACCATCAAGCTGTTTTCCTGAGCAGCTGTACCATTTTGCGTTGCCATCAGCAGAGTGTGAGAGTTTCCATTGCTCTGTGTCCTGGGAAGCACTTGATATTTTTCCATTAATTTTTCTTTTTTTTTTTTTTTTTGCAGTTCTGGTAACTGTGTAATGGTATGCAGGAGTAGATTTCATTTGCACTTCCCTAAAGACTCACGAGGTTGAGCACCTATTCCCATGCTCTTGGGATTCCTAAAAATTAATAAACGGGTACCCCGACTTGGAAACAACTTACACTACTGAAGAGACTTGAAAGGATTCTGACTTAGCCTGACCTACTGGAGTATTTTAACGGCAACTCAGCAGATGACAACTCAATCAAAGGCACACATGGCAGATCTGGAGAGCCAGCAATCAGGGGCAAGAGGCTGCTGATGGGGCATGGCCTCCTCTGTTTCAGGTTTCATTTGGAGGAAAGCATTTGGTTCTCTGCCTACACAAGGTGCCACCTTCCAGAAGCGTCTCCATTTTTGCTGCCCACTCCCTCCTCCTTTTTAACATCCTCCCTTCCAATTTATTTATTTATTTATTTATTTATTTATTTAGAGTGTGTTGTTTTTAATATTTATTTTTTATTTTTCGGTGGACACAACATCTTTGTTTTACGTGGTGCTGAGGATCGAACCCAGTGCCTCGCGCATGCCAGGCGAGAGTGCCATCGCTTGAGCCACATCCCCAGCCCTTATTTTATTTTTGAGGCAGGGTCGCACTGAGTTGCTGAGGCTGGCTTTGAACTTGTGATCCTTCTACCTCAGTCTCCCAAGTAACTGAGATGCATGTGCCCCAGATCCCAGCTATTTTTTATCTTCTTTTACTGAGACAGGGTCTCAAGCTGGTCTTGAATTCCTGGACTCTATCCTGAGTGCCTGGCTCAATTTTTTGTTCGCTTGTTTTTGCAGTAGTGGGGATCAGAACAGGACCTGGCACATCTAGACAAGGGCTCTCCCACTGAGCTCCGCCCTAGCCCTTAAGCAGATTTGAAAATTCAGTGCATAAGGGCACAGAGACACCTGTGCTCCAGGCCTTAGGGGACCTCAAGGATGATACCAGCCAGCCAGGAGTCACCAGGGCTCCCTGGAGGAGAAGATGCCTGCACTGGGTCCTGAGATGGGCAGGAGGCACAGGGAGAGTAGTCCAGACAAAGGGATGGCATGAGTCGGCTGCATCTGTGTGTCTACAAGAAGTGCAGTTGCTCCACTGTAAGGAGGAAGGGCTGAGGGCTGAGGGTGTGGCTCGGTGGGAGAGGCCCTGAGTTCCATCCCAGCACCACAAAACAAAAAGATTGAAGCTGTGGAGTTGCAGGAAATGAGGCTCATGAGGGAGGCTGGGGCTACATCCTGAAGAAGCTTGTGCTCCATGTTCCCAGGGCTTTCTCTGCCTTGCCTTGAACTCACTGATCAGTCTGCCTACAGGGAGCGCTATATTTTTGTCCTTCTCTGGGCTTCTTGTGTTGCTTGCCAGGGTGTCTGGCACATAGAAGGTGCTGATAAATGTTTGATGAATATAAATGAATATGCAATATATGACATTTATAGGGTAACCCAGCTCTGGAGCCCTGTCGGATCATCCCAGTAGTTCTCAAACTTGAGGGTGCCCCTAAAGGTTGCTGGGAGCTATAATGTTGCCTGTGATGCCTGTAATTCCATCAGCTCAGGAGGCTTAGGCAGGAGGATTGCAAGTTCAAGGCCAGCCTGGATGATTTAGTGAGGCCCTGTCTCAAAATAACAAATAGGACCAGGGGTGTGGCTCAGTGGCAAAGCACCCCTGAGTTTAATCCCCAGCACCAAAACAAACAAATCATCTAAAGGGCTGTGGCTTGCTGGATTCAGCCCCCAAGTTTCTGACCCAGGAGATGACGGGTAGTAGGGCCGTTGAAAATTTCCTGTTGAACAGGTAAGTTCCCAGGTGCTGCTGCTGCTGGGGGCACGAGGATCACCTTTGGGTGACCGTGTGTGTGTGTGTGTGTGTGTGTTTGTGTGTGTGTGTGTTTGTGTGTGGTGCTGGGGATTGAACCCAGGGTTATGCAAGCAAGGGAAGCACTCTACCAACTGAGCTATATCCCCAGCCCCTGGGTGACTATTTTTGATGTAAGACTGTGATTACAGGTTAGGCGCTTCTCAGAGCCAAGTCCTGGACTGGGGACTGTCGATGGGCCCTCATTGCTGTGGTTTGTCACAACCATCTGATCCTCTGACCGTTTGGGGGATTTCTTTTGTATTAACTGGTCCCTTTGACTGTAGCTTTGGAGTTACTTTCTCGGGGTCCCCTTCTTTCAGGGAATCCCAGGAGGGTTCCCCATAACTGGCTTCCCTCCTGCTGAACAGTTCAGCTTGGGAGCCGCACACAAGACAAATCTGTGCTGTGAAGCGCGGCTGCAGGGCTGCAGTGCTGCATCAAGGGTCCCTGTCAGTCGCCAGCGCTTGGGCCCACATCTGCAGATCCGTGATCTCACCGGGGGACAGTCAGACAGGTCATGTGTGACTCCTTTAAGAGCCGGGGCTCCCTGTCTCCAGGGCTGAAGGAAGGAGCCACTTAATCAACAGCTCCACTTCCTGCAGCACCTGGGGCTCCCCTCTCTCCATCCCCCACTGCCTCCCCTTGGGCTTCCCAGGCCAATTACTGCCAGGCAACAGCCCTCAGCTCGGGAAGCTGGTAGGCCAGAGGCTGGTCTGGCAGGGCCTGGGGAATCGAGGTGACCCAGCTTGGAGACAGCCCTGGGGGAAGAGGGGTCTCCCAGGGGTGGAGACTGTCACTCAGTTGGCCCGTTCATTCTCTCTGTATGTGTTGGGTGTCCGGGTCATAGTAAGGCTGGGAAACCTGGTGACCGCTGGGGTGTGAGGCGTAGCTTAGGAAGGAGAAAGACGGGGGGAGTGTTGCTCAAGGGCTCCAAACCCCTCCAGGTTCAGCCCAGACCTCGGAGGCTTTTCTACCTCGTTTAGCCACGGGAGCTGACTGCTGCAGATGGTGGCCAGAAGCAGGAACCCCAGGAAGGAAAACCGCCTTCCCACCTGGGAGACCCATTCAGAAGAGCGCTCCTTAGAGAACTCACTCGGACCAAGGCTCAGGCGGACCCAGAAATCCTCCGTGGAACCTTGGTCCAGGCCCACCCCCAGTTCAATTCAGAGGTCTGGGCATGACCAAGAGAAGATCTCGGCTTTGCTCCCCATCATCAGATAAACAAGACAGACAGGGGCAAGAGCCTGCTAGGACCTGGGCGAGCTGCTAGATGCACTTATCCAGGGCAAGGGTCTCTAGGGAGATGCAGCATTCGCTGACTTAGAAAAGCAAGGGACTGTGGACCCTTTAAAATGGAGTGAAATTCCACATGAATGCACGCAGAGACACTCACATTCCCAAAGGAACAGTCTCCAAGGCACTGAACCACTAATCCAAGAGGAAAGGTTTCAGATTCCTTCCTGCCTCCGTCCCCTGTATGAGACCTGAAACCTCTTCCTCTCCCTCCAGCCATCTCTGAGCACAGGCTCTGATCTGTCTACAACTCTGATTGTTAATAGATTCCACTTGGAAGAGATTCCCCTAGTTTTCTTCTTCTTTTTTTTTTTAACTTTTTTTTTCCTTTTAGTTGTAGGTGGATACAATTCCTTTATTTTATTTATTTTTATGTGGTGCTGAGGATCAAACCCAGGGCCTCACACATGCTAGGCGAGTGCTCTACGGCTGAGTCACAACCCCACCCTTTCTCCCCTCTCTCCGTCCGTTCATTCTTAAGAGCTAACATTTATTGAACACTTACTACATGCCAGGGACGTGTCATACTCCTGGCATGCAGCCCCTTTACTGACACAGCAGAAAGACACAGCAGACACAGCAGAAGAGACCGTAGATCATCAATGCTCAAGGAATTTTCAAACAGTGAACACATTCATGTAACCACCACAAACACCAAGAAAAATAACATTTTTTTGGAAAGAATTTTAATATTTATTTACTTAGTTTTCGGCGGACACAACATCTTTGTTTGTATGTGGTGCTGGGGATCGAACCCGGGCCGCACACATGCCAGGCAAGTGCGCTACCGCTTGAGCCACATCCCCAGCCCCAGAAAAATAACATTATCAGCACCCTAGAGGGGCACCCTGTATCTTACCAGAGACTGTCAGCTGTGGCTGGTCTTGGCAACACAGATTAGTGTTTGTTTGTTTGTTTTCTATTTCGAATTCTATATAAGTGGATCATGCAAGTCATTGTCTCTTTTGTGTCTAACCTCTACAGTCCAACATTATGTTTGTGAGGTTGGTTCATATTATTCTAAATAGTTGCAATTTTTTGTTTGTTTGTTTGCTTTTGGTACTAGGGAATCAACCAGGGCTGCTTTACCACTGAGCTATATATATGCCCAGCCCTTTAAATTTTTCATTTTGACACAGGGTCTTGCTAAGTTGCTGAGGCTGGCCTCAAACTTACAAGCCTCCTGCCTTAGCCTCCCAAGTAGCTGGGATTATGACACCAAATTATTTTTTTAATCTAGTTAGATGTCAAGTAAGCATCTCAAATTTAACAGGAACAAAACAGGGCTCCTGATCTCCCCTCTACACAAACCCCAGACTGTTCCTCTCCCAGTCTTTCCTGGTCCTGGGCAGCTCCAACCAGTTGTTTACACCCCAAATCTCAGGGTCATCTTTTCTCCCTCCCTTTCCCCACATGCATTCCACAAGCACATCCCATCAACTCTGCCTATAACACACGCCTGACCTCTTCTTATCACCTCCGCCTCTACTCTCACCCCTGAAAATT